GACAGACAGAGACAGACAGACAGACAGACAGACAGACAGATATATATACAGACTGAGATGGATAAGTAGATAAATAGACAGATAGTTATATAGACAGACAGACAGATATACTGTATATATATAGACAGACAGACAGACAGATATATAGACTGAGACGGATAAATAGATAAATAGACAGATAGTTATATAGACAGATATATATTATAGACTGGCAGACAGATAGACAGATATTTGGACTGACAGACCGATAGACAGATATAAAGAGTGACAGACAGTTGAGACTCACCTTAAACGCGTCGGCCAGGATCTCCGCTCCTCTCTGATTGGTCCTCTTGGATAATCCAACAAAGAATTCTCTACCTGAAGATCAGAGACACGTTTACATTCACCCCCAGAGAACCTGCAGCGGCTGATCTGCTCACAGACATAAACGAGTGCTGGTCTAGACAACAATTTGGATTGTATCTAGTTTCCATCACTGATCAAAGGAAACCAAACTAATTTGCAAAGAGACATTAGTTACTCTCTGAGTTCACTGGGTTCAACTCTACATAAGTGCCACTGAACCTTCTGATCTGAGGCCAGTGAGAAGCTTCAACGTTCCGCTGCATTAAGAGACCTTTTCCTAGTCACATAACTTTGTTTCTTTTTAACAGTGATCTGAGATCAGTTTCTCACATATTCTGGTGTAACAGTTTAAGTTTGTGCGTCGGTAGTTCTGGTCTGATCTGTGAACAGTGCAATGTGAAACGTGAATCCAGAACAGTAGCCACTTAACGTTTTATACAGGAGATATGAGCTTCATGACGTCAGGAGGAAATGTTTCTGGCCGGGAACGACTCCAGCCGAACGTCTCCAGACTCAATAAGGTGCACGGCTGCAGTTTTCCAGCCACCACTGATTGGAGGTGATTCACATTGAATTCAGGGAACCAACCAGACACGATGTATGACAGATCTTTTACTCAAGAAAAAAAGTCACCTACAACTTTTCATTTTTGGGTGAACTATCCATTTAAATTTGTATGCATAATATTGCATTAAAACAGAAATAAATGCAAATCAGAAGCCTTTTCACGAGTGATCACAGACTTTTAGACTTCACTCTCCATATTCTGCTAGATGATTGTCTGTGATTGGCTGTTCGTCTGTGCACACACGGATTTGATTGGCTGCCGCTGCCACATAGGGCGGTCTATGTTTAACAAAGGTATTATAAACCAAATTTGGTACCTGTGAACAGGACATCTCCCCCGTCCAGCGTGGCTGATTCATTAGTCATCTCCACTATATTGAGGCCGAGCTCAGTCAACGCAGCTTTCATGGCCTCCGTCTGGAACAGAAAAACATTTACTTTATTAATTGCATTAATTAACACTGCATTAAAACCACACAAAATACCCTAGTAACTACATTGCAATGTCCTAGCAACCACATAGAGCACCTTAGCAACTGTATAGCAACAAAGCACATACCACTCAAAACACCTTAGCAACCACATAGCAACACTCTGGAAACTGGCCAGAACAATCGTTTAACCATATAGCAACACCGTAGAAACTACCCAGAACAACCTAGCAACTGTATAGCAACAAAGTATATACCACTCCACTCAGAACAACCATATAGAAATGCTATAGAAACTACACAGAACACCCTATCAACCACATAGCAACACCCTGGCAACTGTCCAGGACACTCTTTCAACCATAGCAATGCCCTAGAAACTACCAAGAACACCCTAGAAACTGTATAGCGAAGTATAGCAACGCCCTTGAAACTACACAGAACACCCTATCAACCACATAGCAACAACCTGGTAACTGCCCAGAACACTCTAGCAATTGTATAGCAACAAAGTAATGAACATTTTAGCAACATCCTGCCAACTGTCCAGAACACTCTTTCAGCCATAGCAATGCCCTAGAAACTACCAAGAACACCCGAGAAACTGTATAGCAAAGTATATACCACTCAGAACATCTTAGCAACCACATAGCAACACCCTAGCAACAGGCCAGAACACTCTTTCAACCATAGCAACGCCCTAGAAACTACCAAGAACACAGAAGAAACCGTATAGTAAAGTATATACCACTGAGAACATTTTAGCAACCAGATAGCAACACCCTAGCAACTGCCAAGAACACTCATTCAACCATAGTAACACCCTAGCAACATCCCAGAACACCGTAACAACCACATAGTAACACCCTGGCAACTGGCCAGAACACTCTTTCAACCATAGCAACGCCCTAGCAACAACCCAGAAAACCCTAGCAACAGCACAGCAACACCCTGGAAGCTACCAGAACACTCTGTTATGTACTTTGTATAGCAACAAAATATATACCACTCAGAACACCCTAGCAACCACATAGCAACACCCTGGCAACTGGCCAGAACACTCTTTCAACCATAGCAACGCCCTAGCAACAACCCAGAAAACCCTAGCAACCACATAGCAACACCCTGGCAGCTACCAGAACACTCTGTTATGTACTTTGTAAAGCAACAAAGTATATGCCACTCAGAACACCTTAGCAACCACATAGCAATACACTGGCAACTGGCCAGAACACCCTAGCAACTGTATAGCAACACAGTATTTGACATCACCAGTGAAGTTCATCCAGTGAATTTTAAGCCGAGCAGGTTTGTAAGTCAGAAGCGAGAGCCGTCGGCTGTCTTACACTTGATGGTAAAATGCAATAGGCTAATTGAATGTGTTTATAGTCACTTGAGACCTAAAAGCAACAGTTGTGTTTACATTACACATTTATAGAGTAGAGAGAGAGAGAGAGAGAGAGAGAGAGAGACGCATCAGGATCTGGACTGAGTTTCTCTGACAACATGCTCCATCCCAAAAAAAAAATCTCCCAGAAGTGCATTACACGGATTTTGTTTGTTCTGATCATATTTTTCCTCAATAAATCATACACCGCAACCCAGAACAGTCTATACCTCCATTACTAAATCTGTTAGAAACATTTGGTAAACTCTCTGGTTACTCACTAAACTGGCAAAAAAGTGAATTTTTAGCAGTGACTAATAATATTGACCCAATTTTTATGCGTAGTTTACCTTTTAAAATAGCCATAAATAGCTTGAAATATCTTGGAGTTAATATACCTAGAAACCCTAAGGAGATATATAAGCTTAATTATTTAACTATGATAGAAAACCTAAAGAGCAATATAAAATGCTGGCGGACCCTACCTCTATCAATGATGGGGCGTGTGAACGCTATTAAGATGGTGACATTGCCCAGATTCTTATATCTTTTTCAGAACTTACCAATATATTTGCCTAAAAAGTTCTTCAAAATTTTAGACTCTATTGTACTGCCATTTGTCTGGGGCTTCAAAACACATAGAATATCTAAATTACATGTGTGCAAGCCAAGGTCATTGGGGGGTTTAGGTCTACCAAATTTTCAGCACTACTACTGGGCTGCCAATTGTAGAGCCTTAACTTACTGGTATGACCCACACCCCGATAGTTTCTCAGATGATCTTCCTTCATGGCTTGTGATTGAACGGGGTTCTTCAAACTCGTCTCTCTCCTCATTGCTATTTGCAGCCCCAGAGACATCTAAAG